ATCACCAATAAGATCTATACTCCAGCACCCACAAACCTCACTCCTCAGTCTCCATATCACCAATAAGATCTATACTCCAGCACCCACAAACCTCACTCCTCAGTCTCCATATCACCAATAAGATCTATACTCCAGCACCCACAAACCTCACTCCTCAGTCTCCATATCACCAATAAGATCTATACTCCAGCACCCACAAACCTCACTCCTCAGTCTCCATATCACCAATAAGATCTATACTCCAGCACCCACAAACCTCACTCCTCAGTCTCCATATCACCAATAAGATCTATACTCCAGCACCCACAAACCTCACTCCTCAGTCTCCATATCACCAATAAGATCTATACTCCAGCACCCACAAACCTCACTCCTCAGTCTCCATATCACCAATAAGATCTATACTCCAGCACCCACAAACCTCACTCCTCAGTCTCCATATCACCAATAAGATCTATACTCCAGCACCCACAAACCTCACTCCTCAGTCTCCATATCACCAATAAGATCTATACTCCAGCACCCACAAACCTCACTCCTCAGTCTCCATATCACCAATAAGATCTATACTCCAGCACCCACAAACCTCACTCCTCAGTCTCCATATCACCAATAAGATCTATACTCCAGCACCCACAAACCTCACTCCTCAGTCTCCATATCACCAATAAGATCTATACTCCAGCACCCACAAACCTCACTCCTCAGTCTCCATATCACCAATAAGATCTATACTCCAGCACCCACAAACCTCACTCCTCAGTCTCCATATCACCAATAAGATCTATACTCCAGCACCCACAAACCTCACTCCTCAGTCTCCATATCACCAATAAGATCTATACTCCAGCACCCACAAACCTCACTCCTCAGTCTCCATATCACCAATAAGATCTATACTCCAGCACCCACAAACCTCACTCCTCAGTCTCCATATCACCAATAAGATCTACACTCCAGCACCCATAAACCTCACTCCTCAGTATCCATATCACCAATAAGATCTACACTCCAGCACCCATAAACCACACTCCCCAGTATCCATATCACCAATAATATCTACACCCCAGCACCCATAAACCTCACTCCTCAGTATCCATATCACCAATAAGATCTACACTCCAAATGTAACTCCTGAGTTTGGTGTCACTTTAACCAGTTCATCTCTCATACAAGTACACCCCCCGTGGACCAGAGCAATTTTTCACTTTGTTCTATCGGCCTGTTTACTCAACAATAGCTACTTTTAAGGGACACTAAAGAAATGAACAAAACAAAAGTTTAAATATTAATGGTTGGAAAAATAGAAATATTGCAGTAAAAAGCAGCAGCATTCCAAGACACCGGTCAATGCAAAGATAACAGGTATCCTTTTAGATTGAATCCGGGCTATCGATAGAGGGGTGCAACTAGCCGTCTATACAGGGCCTGGGTCCCATCGGGTCTTGGAAGCAGGACGAGTCCCTCTCAGTGTAGTAGAGGCAGACCATACACAGTGCTCCTTCCCCACAGTTGTCATATGATCCATAGTCCACCTAAGTCGCTGGCTCTTCTCACCCCTCTAGTGTCAGCCTCCCTCGCTGACTTCTCAACTTGTCTTTGTTTTTTAATGCTGCAGGCAGAGGAAGTGGAGGGAAGAAACTGTGCTCTGATTACTCTGGTCTCAGATTGTGCCTGCCCATTGCCTCTCGCCCACAGCTCACAATATCTTAGTGAGCAGCACCAAGCGTCCAGGCCAGGGATGGGGAAAGTGTTATATTTGGGGTTTTATATCCAGAGACAGGGGAAGAATGAGATCTGCAGGGCACTGAGTTGGGACAGGAGGGGGCAGAGTTATATTTGGGATTATATCCAGGGAGAGGGGAAGAATGAGATCTGCAGGGCACTGAGTTGGGACAGGAGGGGGCAGAGTTATATTTGGGATTATATCCAGGGAGAGGGGAAGAATGAGATCTGCAGGGCACTGAGTTGGGACAGGAGGGGGCAGAGTTATATTTGGGATTATATCCAGGGAGAGGGGAAGAATGAGATCTGCAGGGCACTGAGTTGGGACAGGAGGGGGCAGAGTTATATTTGGGATTATATCCAGGGAGAGGGGAAGAATGAGATCTGCAGGGCACTGAGTTGGGACAGGAGGGGGCAGAGTTATATTTGGGATTATATCCAGGGAGAGGGGAAGAATGAGATCTGCAGGGCACTGAGTTGGGACAGGAGGGGGCAGAGTTATATTTGGGATTATATCCAGGGAGAGGGGAAGAATGAGATCTGCAGGGCACTGAGTTGGGACAGGAGGGGGCAGAGTTATATTTGGGATTATATCCAGGGAGAGGGGAAGAATGAGATCTGCAGGGCACTGAGTTGGGACAGGAGGGGGCAGAGTTATATTTGGGATTATATCCAGGGAGAGGGGAAGAATGAGATCTGCAGGGCACTGAGTTGGGACAGGAGGGGGCAGAGTTATATTTGGGATTATATCCAGGGAGAGGGGAAGAATGAGATCTGCAGGGCACTGAGTTGGGACAGGAGGGGGCAGAGTTATATTTGGGATTATATCCAGGGAGAGGGGAAGAATGAGATCTGCAGGGCACTGAGTTGGGACAGGAGGGGGCAGAGTTATATTTGGGATTATATCCAGGGAGAGGGGAAGAATGAGATCTGCAGGGCACTGAGTTGGGACAGGAGGGGGCAGAGTTATATTTGGGATTATATCCAGGGAGAGGGGAAGAATGAGATCTGCAGGGCACTGAGTTGGGACAGGAGGGGGCAGAGTTATATTTGGGATTATATCCAGGGAGAGGGGAAGAATGAGATCTGCAGGGCACTGAGTTGGGACAGGAGGGGGCAGAGTTATATTTGGGATTATATCCAGGGAGAGGGGAAGAATGAGATCTGCAGGGCACTGAGTTGGGACAGGAGGGGGCAGAGTTATATTTGGGATTATATCCAGGGAGAGGGGAAGAATGAGATCTGCAGGGCACTGAGTTGGGACAGGAGGGGGCAGAGTTATATTTGGGATTATATCCAGGGAGAGGGGAAGAATGAGATCTGCAGGGCACTGAGTTGGGACAGGAGGGGGCAGAGTTATATTTGGGATTATATCCAGGGAGAGGGGAAGAATGAGATCTGCAGGGCACTGAGTTGGGACAGGAGGGGGCAGAGTTATATTTGGGATTATATCCAGGGAGAGGGGAAGAATGAGATCTGCAGGGCACTGAGTTGGGACAGGAGGGGGCAGAGTTATATTTGGGATTATATCCAGGGAGAGGGGAAGAATGAGATCTGCAGGGCACTGAGTTGGGACAGGAGGGGAAAGATTTATATTTGGGATTATATCCAGGGACAATAGATTGCCGAGACAGAAAATATTATCCGAGATCCTCAATGGTGCCAGTAAAATTCCAGAGTCACATTTATAGTTAAAACCAGCAATCAAATGTGGTGCCACCTATGGAAAATGCTTCCTCTATTAGTTACCTAGGGGAGCTGGATAGGTCCTAGCAGGCTTGCAGACAGAATTGTGGGATGCCTGGTACCTTGCACTTAGTTTTGTGAGGTGGGAGGCACCTGGCTGGTTAATACAAAGCGGTACCAGAGGGCTGTTGCTGGTCACATGGGGGTCATTCCTAGTATCTAGTCATGGCCGGCCCCCAGTCATGAAAGGGTTAATCATGTCCAGCTGCCAGGAAGCTGCTGGTAATGAAACAGTGGACTGTGTACAGCCACCAGTAATGAGAGGGTTCATTGCTCATCAGGGGGCCCTGTGTTGGGGCCCATTCCCACTGATGTGCTGTGGTGACATACCCTAAAATGTGCGTTTTACCATGAATTACCGCAATGCATGTTACTGTATGACACGATGTGTGTTGTGTTGCTGAGCCATTCATTGCACATGTAGAGTAGCTGCCCAAGCACCCATAGCAACATTAGCAGCAAACTCTTTACAATTAACTCCATGACAAGGACGAGAGGCCACCACCTAAAATTGGCGGAGAAAAAATTTCAGCACAAGTGGCGAAGGGGTTTCTTCTCAATTAGATCAGGGTCTGGAACTCGCTGCTGCATGCTATGATTTCGGCTGAGAGTGTGGAATCGTTCAAGAGGCGATTGGACAATTTCCTCAGAGACCGTAAAATAAAGTGGTACAAGTACTCTTAAGGATGAGAACACACAGGGACCTATACATACTACTCATCAGTAGGACCATACACATACAATAGGTTGGACTTGATGGACATGAGTCTTTATTCAACCTCAAATACTATGTATCTATGTAACCTGAACAACATAAAACCACACTGCACATGAAGTGCATTGTAGTTCGCTGCATTGCCAATAATGCTGCCGGTGTGGGGTTGCCACCTGTCCCGGATCCAGCTGGACAGTCCGGGTTTTGAGTCCAGAAACCCAGACACAGCACATACAGGTCTCAAAACACGTCCAGGGGAACCCAGGACAGGTGGTGACCTTATGCCGGGGTGTGTTTTTTCATGCGTTAAGATGCACTGCTGACCCAATTAGAATGAACGCAGCACACCTTGCCATACAAAAACATATTCAGGGGAATTTATCAAAAGCTGGAGCAGTTGCCGTGGCAACCAATCAGCTTCTCTCTTCAGTTTGTTCAATTAGGATTTGAAAATGAAAGAGAGAAGCTGATTGGTTGCCATGCAGAGCTGCACCAGATTTTCCCTGCTCCAGTTTTGATACATTTCCTTTATTGAGTTATTTTCAGCTAAGTCCAATAAGATTTGTAAATTACAGTCACATTACCGCAGCTAAAGCTCCTTATCCTGGTTCAGTGAATTGATCCGATTGTTGGGGGAGTAAAGCCATCACATGGTCAGCGTGTGAAGACTGAGGGATACAAGAAATACCGGAGTGGATGTACACCATGGATTGGGTGACTGCAGCAAGCATTGATCGCCTGTAGTAGACGATCCCCATTATCTCTGGGCGTTCCCTCTGTGTCTTCTATTAAAGAATAAACCACGCCCACTTCCTGCTGTCACGGCACTCACTTCCCTGTCTCCATTCCATCTCCTATCACAGCAATGACAGCCATGTCCGAGGTCGCCCTCCTCCTAGACACAGCACACTTTGCAGCTGAGAAGCACAAGATGCAGAGGAGGAAGGACGTAGAAGAGACGCCTTATATTAACCATCCCATAGGTTAGTTACAGATATTAGACACATTGGGGGGATTGTATCCAAACTGGAGCAGACTTGCACTGCAGCCAATCAGCTTCTCTCTCTCACTTTCAACGCTTACCTGGGCAAACTGAAGAGAGATGCTGATTGGTTGTCATGGGTAACTGCTCCAGATTCTGTTTGCTCCAGTTCTGTTAGATTCCCCCCTATGTAGCTGTGGAACTCATTCACACAGGCAGTGACATACATGCACGCAGAGGACATTTGTAAATGTGTATAAATGCTTTCAATGGTACCAGCCACACTGTGCACTTACCTGCATGTAGGTGTGTTCAGTTTGGTTGCATTTAGAGAAAATAGAATTCTGTGCGTAAGATTTGGCTACATTCACACGGGCGTTCTGGGATTCCTGCCGCAAGAACCTGCAGATTCCTGCCGCAGGAATGCCAGTCGTTCCATGCAGATGTTGCCGCTGTACTCATTCAAGTAAATGACACGTGACAGCGGCTGCATCTGTCAGTGGCAGTCCTCATGAAATCGTACATGATACAATTACTCGTGGTTCGGGATAGATCATTGTCGCTGGATGTATCTGTTCTGCGTCCAGCGACAATCACCTATCCTGCACCCATATTTAATCCTAGTTTACCCTTCCCTGATCATTTTTCCTGCGTTTACAGTAGTACAGCAGCACTTGCTACTCTCTGCCACAAACACACATATGTTACATGAGCTGTGTATGACTGAACCATCCCTTATGTATTGGGCTACCGGTGACAGGTAAGCGGCACACAGCCTGTAGAAATCAGTGGCTGCAACTATAAATAAGCAAATATATACGAATCCGAGTGGCTGCATGCATACAGGGCAGTATGCATCTCCCTGAACACAGACAAGGCGACGGCTGATTTTTGTATGGCGCCCCAACGCAGCTCCCAGGAGCTTGTAGTGCAACACACAGTGCCACAGTAGCATGTGATGCGGTGGGAAACAGTAGTGCAAGTTGTTGGCAGGCGAGCTCTCAGACGTTGCATTGTTGGAGCTGAGGTGACTGTAGATCTAGTTTATGATTAGTGTTAGGGAAGTGATTGCAGTTAAGTATACGAGTTAGGGTTAGGGTAGCATTAGGGGTAGTCAGTGTAATGCTGGGCACACACCTTACAACCATCGCAAGACTTTTGTCTTGCTATGGTTGTAAGGTACTTTAAAAAAGTACGATCTGCCTATCTTGGACAGGCAGATTGTACTTGCGATGATCGCAAGCCACGCCCCCCTGAGGGGCGGGCTTCCGATGACCGCAATGCCGAACAGGCAGTGTGAGCTTGCGCACACCGGCCTGTCTGGCTTTCATCTTACGAACATGCTACACACCCGCCAAACATCGTATGATGCTCGGCGGGTTTTGAAACATGTTCGTAAGTTTAAAGTCGTGCGACCTTACAGTAGTAGAGGTCGCACGGCTTCCACACACCTTACAATAATCGTGCAATCGCGGGATTTCCCGCGATTATCGTGAGGTGTGTGGGCACCCTTATGATCAGCACCACTGCAAACTATGATTGGCTACAGAGTTATTCACAAAAGGCTGAAGAGTTTGGAGAAGGCCGGAGAAGTGAGTAACCTAGGACAACATAGCTGAGCTGGAAAATGAGCTGAATTGGAGAATGTTTCCAGTTCGGGTATGTTGTCCTAGATTGTTCACTTCTCTTCCCTTCTCCAAACTCTTCACCCTTCTGTGAATAACCCTGTAAAAGTCCACTATGTAAATCCTCATAATTAAATTTATATTATTACTTATAAAGTATACCATCGGAAGTGCTTTTGTCATATCTGTTCAATAAGTGCAAAAACAAATATCTGTTGATCCTGCCAAGAATAACTTCCTGTGCTCTCTGCCTCTGTTGACAGCATTGCTCTCTGCCCTCTCTGTGGACTACAGAACACCTTCACCTATGTCATGTGTATAGAAGGCGAAAGGGAGGCATTTTGTAGTTCAAACACGTCTGTCCTAGAGTGACAACGCTGCCCCTCCACAGATACAGTTCAGTGGGTGAGCTTTGTTACCCTAGGACAGGAAATGTGTCACTAGCAGGTACAACAGGTAAAAATAAAGGAAAAAGCCAGAACTTCACTGCAGCCACCACATCTAAGGAATGGAAGGTGTAATATATTACATCTTTCTTATCAGGTTTATATCCACTTTATATTGAATGACATAAAAAAGCGCTATGTAGAAGTAGAGATGGGTTTGTTGCTCAGCATTTCTACAGATGATGGGGGTGGGGGGTTCTCATCTGTATGGGAAGTGATTGACAGCACGTAAATGGTCAGTGTATACAGTAGAGGAAGTGATGAGGGGGAAGTCTCCCCTCTATTTTATTCAATATATTTTCACCTTTTGTACCGGTTTATGTTTTAGGTGTTGCTAGAATATTATCTCACGAGGCTGGAGTCGGTGATCTAGCTGTGCTACAGGTAAAGATGTGTGTAAATGTGACATGATGGCCAATGCAGTGCCCTGTGCTCTATCTCTGTTACCATTTTAAAGTGACACTAAACTCAGGAGTTAAAAGTACTTGAATACATGTTTAAGATTTAAAGGAGAACTATGAGGTAAGTGATTTTTACTCAACCTCATAGGTCAAGCCGACGTGTGACAATGACACTGTCACATGTCGGCTCTATAGATCGGGAACACATACCGTCGCTCGCTCACTTTCCGATCATCTCCCTGCAGAGAGCGGGAACTGTCACTCACCGCTGCCCGTAGTGATTCCCCCTCCCATCTCCGATCCTCCATTGCTGACTGGAAGAACAAACGGGGGAGGGGGCAGGCACAGCTGGCTCTGCCTCTAGATAGGCAGAGCCGGCTGTCACTCACGCAGCTGGGTGGATCTCGACAGCATTGTCGGGATCCGTCCCGGCTGCAGCGCTTTCAGTAGCCCGCGATATACTGAGCATGGTCACGGGAGGAAGTTAGTATATGTCCTCCCGTGACCCTTAAGAGGACTATGGGATAAAAAGGTGACCGCATAGTTTAGTGTCACTTTAAACAAGCAATACATTCTCCATGGTCTTCTAGGAAATTCTCAGGAAAGGGGATGTAAAAGATAACGTTTGCCTTCCAGTTATGAGACACATCATCAGCTTGGTAGGAGTGCTAATAATGGTGAAATGGAATGGCATGATCGGAAATCACTCTTCCTCTATCAGATTTTGTGAATAAATCACACGGTGTGAAGAGCTGGTAACCATAATCTGATTACAGGATGGCCTTCCTATGGTTGTGGCACCTTTTAGGCAATATATTAAAACTAAAATCATTTGCAGATCTGCTGAGCATTTGTGCAGTGTGATGGGTCCCCTATAGGAATGAATGGAATAACTGATCACATCAATGACAAAAGACAGCTTGGGCCTACTGCTTGTAATATATATTCATCTTGTTATAAATGATGGAAATAAACGCCATTGTAAGTACCCCTGGCAATGTTAAGCTGGCCATGCACTGGGCTTTTTTTCTAATTGAATCCCTCTGGCTGAGAAAAAAACCACTTGATTCCCCATCCACCCTAAGCAGTGTGTATAGGGGAATCTCTCCCAGGCGGCACCTGCAGCTGTTAGAATAACCACACAGTGACTGCAGCGGCTACCCACGTACTGCAAGGGTTAAGTGCATGTTTTGCATAGGGAGCTAAAATAAAGTTATACTCACCCAAACTGCAATCCTGGTTGGCTCCTACACTGTTTCCTTCAGCCCTTGCCTCCTCCTCTGCTCCAGTGATGGAATGTCCCTTGGTGTCCTCATGTTCTATACTGTATAAACTCACAGGACCTTAGACAACGCAGGCTTGGGTGAGTCCTACCTTTTTTTTTTTTAAGGTTCATGGACACAAGGAGCACTTATCCCTTGCCGTGCGGGGGTAGCCCCAATGAAAGGGATAAGATTTGATTTGCCCAGAGTTTTGCTTTAAATAAACATAAAAGGTTTATTAAATATACTAAATATGTTCATATGTAGAAACCCTACACATCTGTATGAATATATTTTATCAGTTATCACGAAAGCCCGCCTATGAATCTGTTTTCCAGGCAGCTCTGCTACATGATACGGTGGAAGATACGCACACAACGTTCCAGGAAATCGAGGAGAGGTTTGGACTGGAGGTCAGGAAGATTGTGGAGGAGGTGACAGATGATAAGACATTACCGAGGATGGAGAGGAAGAAGCAGCAGATCGAACATGCACCCCAGTGCAGCCACAAGTCCAAGCTGGTCAAACTAGCCGATAAATTGTACAACCTGCGAGACTTGAACCGTAGCACTCCGAAAGGTCAGTATTCCTCCGGTCATACAATTGCCACATTCATTTCTAGAAATCCTCTGTCTGAGGTTGTTTGTATATAAGGATAAAGTCTCATGCACACGGGTCACCTGCATGTATAGACTAGGGATGCACCGATATATCGGCCACTGAAACATATCGGCCGAAAATGGCACTTTTGGTTAAATGCAGAAAGTGCAATTTTCCTGCCGATACATCGACGCATCCCAGGTTTCTCTCCTCCCCGCTGGGCGCTGCTCTGTGTCCCAGTGGGGAGGAGAGAAAGTGACAGCCGGCCGAGCGACGTGGGAGGAGAATGCTGCGATCTCCTCCCACACCACTCAGCCTCCTATCACAGTCTGGCAGAGCGGTGTGTGGGCGGAGACAGACCGTGTTGTCACAGGAGGCTGAGCTCTCCTCCCCGCACCGCTCGCTCAGCCTCCTGTGACAGCGTGTCAGAGAGGAGAGCGAGAGCAAACACTCAGTGATCGCTGAGTGTTTGTAGATAATTGAGGACATGGTATGGTTACTATATCCTCAATTATGAAGGAATGGGAAGTGATCTACATCTCCTCCTGTTCCTTCATGATTGTGGATATAGTAAACACACTATGTCCTTAATTTATGAATGAACAGGAACACTCAGAGGATTCCTGATCATTGATAACTGGGGATGCAGAAAAAGAGATTTGGGACTCCGTGTTCTCTTTTTCTATTTTAAAAGAAAAATATCAGGGATCTGTTTAGACCCCTAATATTTCCCCGAAGCCCCTAAAAGTGAAGTCAAAAATGAAAATATTTAATAAAAATATAAAACAATAAAAAAGTTTATAAAAAATAAAATATTTTAAAAATGTAAATAACATAATTTTTGGTTTCGGCCTGACAATTTTTTTATTTTTTTCGGTTTCGTCTCGGTTTTTAAATGTCTATTTTGGTGCACCTCCTAGTATAGACAATTATTATGCTTTTCAATTCACTTTTTCCTGTGTTTAGATGTTCCTGGGTTTAGTCACATTTAGATGCATCTAGACCCATTTAAGTGCGTTGACCTGCATTGAGCCAGGCTAAACGGTCCTGGGACGCAGAAAATTCTGGTTTGTGTAAACTCCGCTAGACTGGATGCTGATAAATGTCTAGGTGTGCATTCAATCATAGCAAAGTATTACAAGCTTCCAGGTGTGTTCAGAAATGAGCTGCAGACGCACCTGGACTCGTGTATTATCGTTGCCATGTGCATGAAGCCTAAAGGTGCCCATACACCTTACACTTATCAGACGAAACTTTTCGTACGGCAGCCCCATCCTGCCCCGATGACCGCAAGACTAATTTAGCCGTAATTAATGAAAAGCACCTGGACGAAATGCGGTAATTGATTTGCCGTACTTTCGTTAGCGCAAACGCAGTGTACATCGTACGACTTTTGACGGACGGAAACACCAGCAACCTTACTACAATCGTACGATCTAGCAAAGTTTTCAAACATGCTTGACCGGCAAAAGTCGTTCGATTGTACAGTACTGTCGGTCGGACACTGCAATGCACACATACGATTATCGGCCGAAAAGTCGATCGCATAAGAAAATCGTAAGGTGTATGGGCACCTTAAGGCCCCTTTCACACGTCGTTACAATCAGATCTGCCTGCCAATTTTTCAGGTGGACCTAATCATAAATGCAATATTAGTCTATGGGAAGTTAGATATAAGCGATTATGTGTCCATTTACATCCAATTACTTCGAGTCCATTCAGGTCCACAAATAAAAATGGGATGGGACATGTCCGCTTACATCTGACTCCCTATAGAACGGGTTCAGTTTTTTCCCCCCATCACAAATGAAGAAAAAGAACAATGTTCGTGCTCTTCAATATTGTACAGATGTTCCTCACTTACCGACTTACCTGTTTTGCGACCACTCGCACTTACGACGGACCGCCGATCGACCTCCGACCTTACGCGTCAGCGTCAGTGCGACGGGTCGCCGGCGGAAGTGACATCCCCCGATCTTCACTGCAGGTCTCGGTAAGTATTTCCATTGCCGGATGTACAGTACACTGTTCGGTACTGTACATCGGCAACGCTATACAGTACTGTACTAATGCAGAATAGTACTGTATAGAGTTCCTCACTTAACGACCAATCCGTTTAACGACCTGGTCGTAGGAACGGAACTCGGTCGTTAAGTGAGGAATACCTGTAGTTACCTTATGATACATTTTAGAGTGGGCCAGGTTATTTTGGATTATTAAACCAATAATGGGCATTTTATTGGTCTATGTGAAAAATGGCCACTCAGAGCGCATATAAAGTAAGCAAGCTCGGAGAAGCAAAACGGTTAGAGTTCCATGCAAACCTCTTCCACAGTTCATGTTTTATATCCCACTGAAGCCTTCTACTCCGATACAAGCAGCTTCAGGAAAACAAACACTCTGAAGTTCTTTGTATTGGACAGACTGAGGATCCCAAAAGTTGAGGAATTGTTATACAGCTTGGTCAACTCGCCACCCTCTAATCGATGCATTTTAATGTCAATAACAACATGACAGGTCCAGTATAATATGTTGTCATTGTTATATCTACACATTTTTTGTTTTGTAGGGTGGTCAGAGAAACGAGTCAAAGAATATTTCCAGTGGGCTTTCCAGGTGGTAAACGGTCTACGAGGCACGAACACAACCATGGAGCAAAACCTGGATAAGCTATTCAGAGACAGGGGGGTTGTGGCCTAACTCCACAGACGGACTATTTGGATGTCCGGGTGTCAAAAGACTGCAGTTTCATGCCATTGCACAACCTATGCAGTGCCTGTACAAGAGGAGCCAGAATGCTATTAGATTTAGATTTATACACTTATGTTAACTTGCAAATTGACTGGTAGTATAGGCAAGGCTACACACTAATGTGCAGTGTGTTAGACTGCCCAGAAATGGTGCATGCAACATATTTTGGCAGCACAACCCAAAGCACGTTGGCGCATGGTTGCGCTGCAACACGTCTGTCAGAAGGTGTGTTTGGGTGCCATTCAGAATGAACTAGGGATGCACCGATTTCGGTATTGAGTACCGATATTTTTGTTTCGATACTCGCCGATACCAAATACTGATACCGAAAGTCCCATTGAGGAAGCCAGGCGGCGTGTAATGACTCGCAACCTGGCTTCCCGATTAGCAGGGAAGCCGTCCTCATGCTTCTTGTCACTATGTGACGAGAAAGCATGGAGCCGGCTTTCTGGCCAATCAGGAAGCCGAGCATCGCGTCATTACACGCTGCTCGGCTTCCTGATTGGCTGGGAAGCCGGCTCCATGCTCTCTCGTCACAAGTGACAAGGGAGCATGGAGCCAGCTTCCTGTACAGGAGCCCATAGAAATGAGATGATTGCAGTCAGTCATGGTTGGATCAGGAAATGGTTTCCTTTTTTACTGCCATTTGGCAAGATCTAAAAGAGTTTGGGTTGTACTTGCAGGTCTGATCGCCTTCTGATATCTATGAAAAGCTTTAAATTATTATTTAAGAAATTAGATTCAACCACTAATTACCTAGTTGTGATATAATGGTGTAACCACTAAATAAATTACAAGTACATTAAGTGACTTAATTTGCCTTGTAAACAATTGCTGCTGAAATGGTAGCTTGAATCCTAACCAAAGACTTACACCTTTTTGTATCTTTGTAGCTCTGTACACCTACGTGTGGTGATTTATGACAGATTTTTTTTATTTTTGTTTTGCTTGGGAATGTTTTAAAACAGAACTCCAATCAAAAATAAATTCGCACTGAAAGATTAAAAACAGCATTTGTTGCAATACTTTTACCATTGTCCTGGCAGGAATACCAGACCTCGCAAAAAAACAGGAACAGAGATTTGTGTCCTTGACATGATTAAGATTTATTCGACATATGTTGGGCAGCACGTTAGCCAGCGTGCTACACCCAAAAAGAGGAATTACAGTGGTCTGACTCTCCCATCATCACTACAAGATCTTGGTGAAAAATGAATGCAACTCTGGACAGAAATAAATATTGTGAGATTGCATAAGCTCATCAAACCGATGCCGCAGCAAATGCGTGCCATAATCAAAGTTAAAGGTGGTCCAACGAAATATCGGTGTGTGAGACTGTTTTTTGGCCAGGCAGTGTAAATGAGCATGTCAAAGCTTATAGGGGATTTTAGTGATTGAGTTTAGCTCTACATAAGAGTCATTTCTACTTTTGCTAAAGTGAACCTGTGACCCACTCGTGTTCAGGGGAACTGCTAAAGTGAATCACTCTTTACTGAGTTTTCAAGATATTCTTCCACAGCAGAACTAGCTACATTTCAGGGGCAAGATTGGACCATCTCTAGCCCAATCAGTCTAAAATGAGAGTGAGATGTCTCAGCAGCTGCTCCAAGCATCTGTATCATTTTGCCTGCCTTTGTCTAAGAGATATAAAAAAGGTACAATTATCCTTATTTAAGAAAGAGTTCTGAAAGATAATTTGCATATGAAGCCATAACCTACTCTCACTTTAGTAGCATGTATTCGGACTGCTAGCTTTAGATCACTGCATTTCAGTATGAGCACATACAAGTACAAACTTATTGTAGAAGGCCAATCGTGTTACTCCGCCTGTCATAAAAAGCTCGGTTTTAGAGTGTAGCAGTTGAACGAATGGACATGGAACCCCTTTTATCTTGTTAGATATTCCACTACAGGTACACAAACCATATACCAAAGTTGTGGGCACTTTGATAAACCTGGCGTAGTAAGTTTATGGTTCCTTGATAAATGTCTCTCATAGATAAAACAACTACATGTTGCTAAATTTATGCAGTAGTTGGCCATTTGGATATTAAATAGCTAGGATTGAAAATGCAGACTCTGCTTCTTCACACCACTATGTCATTGTGCTGTGTTTTCTGCACACCACCACACATGTATGGTGTAAACAGGGTACATAGAAAACAATTGTCTTCTGTTCACACTATACATGTGTAGCAGTGTGCAGATAAACACAAAGATGCTTTGCGGCGGCCTGAGAATTTTTCACATTTTCGTGAGGGTTATAAAACGTGAGGGTTTAGAAACCCTTTAACAGAAGAGGTAACCAATGGCAGCCACAGTGACCTCTAAAGACAGATTTTCTACAACAAAAATATTAACTCCATACAGCTGAAAGACTAAACAGGAGTTTTGTTTCTACCAATTTGCTGTTGATTAGGTCAGACTGTAAGGAAATAAATGACAAAGATTATTTTAATAAAGAAATGATTACGCTTTTTAAAGTCGCTTGTTTACATTCAGATTCTATAGAGAAAATTGCCATCGCCATCAAAAAATTCTCTCCCTTTTTGTACAACTTTCATCTTGTTTTCAAGTCCACTGTTGGCTAATTCTTCCATGTCATGATCACTTAATACCTCCCCATCCCATTTCTCATCAAGCATCTTCCAGTCCTCTTCCCCAGGGTCGTCTGGCACAGGTTCTTCCTGTCTGTTTGGACTTGCACTTGACACGGCAAGAGGAGGTTGAGCCTCCTTGACCCCCTGAAGCATGTTTTGAGGTACTAGAGCATTACCTATATGTCTCTGTGTACCCTCTGTCCTCACGGCTATATGTGAGAAGTCTGATGTTTTGGGAGAAGGAAGAAGCGGTGGTGACTGGCTGACTAGAAGATGCCTGTCACTGTTACCATGTGCCAAGAGCGGTTGTGATGGATGTTTAGAAGAAGGCACCAACTTAGGCTGGTCATGCTTTGTGCTGGAGACTTGGCCAAGGCTTTTGAAAGCAGCAGCATCCTGTTTCATCTTTCGAGCTTCTGATGGGACAAATTTTGACTTTAATACTCTCCTGATGTTATCAGTACTAACATTAAATCCGGCAGCAAGTCGCTGTATAGTCCACTCTTCAGGGAACTCCTGCTTCAAATATCTGTATAAAAAAAAAAGGGAAAACATTCAAATAATAACCATTCAAAATGTAATGTTTGCAGCGCTGACACTGCTGTAGGTAATAAATCTCTACTCTGAATATAAAATTCTGGGCCTCTTTTCCATTACTGTCCCTAACAAAGTTAAAATATACAAGATGCACCTTCAAAGAGGATTGCAAATACCTCTCACGCTGCCCATGCCACTGAATGCTGCTTCACTGAAGAGGAATTGTCCTCTGAAGTCGCAATCTCCTATGTCACCCACTGTGTTCAATAGTTGCTTCCGCCAACTCCACATCACTACAGGGCACAGTAGGAATGAAGGTGTTGATGGGAGGAACCACTGAGTGCAGTGGGGGACCATTAGATCCTCTTCATTAGAATGGCATCCATGGGTGCAGCAGCAGGAGAGGTATTTACAATATTCATAGCAGGCATATCTTGTATTCCAACTTTTAGTTATGGGACAGAGTTGCTTGAAATCTGTCGGAGGAACAAAAGCTATTTGGCAGCAACATGAACATCTGACCATTACCAGAGGACTCCGGCCAGGTTAAAGTGGACCTGTGCTTTGACCAGGCAGGGCAAAGCAAAAGGTTTGGCTTAAAGTGGACAGTCACCCTCCCCATCCACATCAGGTTACAGCCCTCCTACCCACTATTTCCCTCTCTCTCTCATAACTTTCTTTACTCCCCAAATAACAATTTTCCTTGGGACCCCTCCCAGCACTTCTGGAATTCTCAGCTAGGCTATCGGGGGGCTGGTTTCTACAGTGCATGTTCCCATAGGAGTCATCAGGGGGCCTACTGTCTCATCCTGCGGCAAAGCCACCCGCGTATGTGCAATCTGGCCCATACCAGAGGACCGACTACAAGAACCCAGAAGAAGCAATCCACCTCCTGAGGAAGCATGTATAGCAGATGGCAACGCAGGACTCAGCGTGCGGCATCAGATTGCAGAAGGGCAGAGCTTAATTTGCTGGACACGCAAGTAACAGGGTAATCGGGGATTAAAATAATAACATGGGGTAAAGGAGGATTGAAGTTCCTGATCAAATGCTCTTCTCCTCTGCTACGTTATCTGCCTTTTCATTGCTTCTGAGCTGCAGCATTCTCCTGAAGGAATGATGAGAATAACACCTTTGTAAGCTCCAAGTCACTCTGATCAGAACTTATACAGGGCTAGGGACAAGATCCCCATCCCCAAGTGACAACGCTGGTTCCTAGTGATAACTCACTCAAGCACCCAGTGCCATATACTGAGAGGAAAGGAAGCATGTGACATACTCTCCAAAACAGAGGTAACGAGTATATTCTCATCAATGCGCTGCTGCTGCGTACTCGTCAATTCAGCAGGCTGCGGATGTGTTCTCCATTAAGCTGTGATGCTGCTGCAGTGAAGGTTAAGGATCTGTCTGCACAATCTGACAGGGGTGTCTACATCACAAGTCTGGCTGCACATCATTTCAATCCTTTTGAAGGGAAGGCAGTTTCTATACATTTAAATTTTAACTTTGTATGTCGTTGCTTGCTTGGAGTGCAGGTTTAGGTTTGATTAACTTTTTACCTGATCTGCTCCATTGCATTCCACGTCAGACGCCTTTCAGGCAGTTCAGGGGGTTCCATCTCCCGCTTTATTCGTTTGAACCGGATGGCTTCCCCACGCCTCTTCAGAATACTAAGTGAAAGAAGATCCAGAATATATATTATCCACTTTAATTTTATTTATGGTATGCTCCATAGTGACATTTCATACTGACTGGGCTTAAATAGAATTTGCACAGAACATGAATAAGAACAACTCTTCAAGTACTACAGTTTAAAGCCATACTATAACTTAAAAAAAGGAAGAAGATCAAAACTTGCTGAAGTGTTCAGCTTTCAACACTTCTGAAAGTGATGGAGGCTGATGTCCCAACATGAGCTCTGTGGTTCCCTCCACTGGCCCTACGTCCGGAAGCGATGGAGGCCAGTATCCCCAGATGAGCTAAGTGGTTCCCTCCACTGGCCCTACATCTAAAAAGTAATGGAGCTTGCTGTCCCCAGATGAGCTCTGTGGTTCCCTCCACTGGCCCTACATCTAAAAGTAATGGAGCTTGCTGTCCCCAGATGAGCTCTGTGGTTCCCTCCACTGGCCCTACGTCCAGAAGTAATGGAGGCCAGTGTCCCCAGATGAGCTCTGTGGTTCCCTCCACTGGCCCCACGTCCGGAAGTGATGGAGACCAGTGTCCCCAGAGTAGCTTTGTGGTTCCCTTCACTGGCCCTACGTCTGGAAGTGATGAAGGCTGATGTCCCCAGATGAGCTCTGTGGTTCCCTCCACTGGCCCTACAACTGAAAGTGATGGAGCTTGCTATCCCCAGATGAGCTCTGTGGTTCCCTCCACTGGCCCTACGTCCGGAAGTAATGGAGGCCAGTATCCCCAGAGGAGCTCTGTGGTTTCCTACACTGGTCCTACATCTGGAAGTGATGGAGACCAGTGTCCCCAGATGTGCTCTGTGGTTCCCTCCACTGGCCCTACGTCTGGAAGTGATGAAGGCGGATGTCCCCCGATGAGCTCTGTGGTTCCTACCACTGGCCCTAGGTCACTACGGGACACAGGAGCTGGCAGAAGGAATCACGGAGCACAGCGGGGGACCAGACATCTGAAAACCCCCCAAAAAGATGCCAGATGTTGAAGCTCTCTCAGGTAGGCTAGACCTACAACCCAGAGGAGTTTGAGGACCGGGGTAAGGTAAGTGATAGTTTCTTTCAATGCAGGGATAACTTGGTTTCTGTGTTTTTTTTTTAAAGAGACAGAGTCACTTTAAAGAACAACTCCAGGCAAAATGTTTCTTAACCCTTGCAGTGGGACTATCCTCACAATGCAAGGGTTAAGTGCTTGTTTTGGTCTAGGGAGGAAAATAAAATTATACTCACATGATCCTCCGAACTGGCTGGCCGTGACAGCACTCTCTCCTGCCCGTCTCCTCCAGCAATGGAATGTCCCTCAGCGTCCTCACATCCTATGCACTGTGTATAGAATGTGATAACTCACAAGCTTTAGACCGCTGCAGAGGCTGGAAGGACTGGACTAAAAGCAAGCCAGCTCGGAGAATCGGGTGAGTATAACTTAGTTATTTTCCTTCCTAGATGAAAACGAGCACTTAACCCTTGCAGTGAGAGGGTAGCCCCACTAGAAGGGTTAGGAAACATTTTGCCCGGAGATCTTAAGCTTTAAGCTACAAAACAGACTGATAAAGACTACAGGCAAAGTGTAAATCTTTACGCCCAGTGTGTACATACACTGCACTGGCTAGTTTGTACTGGCATCCCATGGACCATGACTACTGACCCAACCCCTCCCCCCAAGGATTAAAATTAGATTACTAACCTGCCTGAGCTGATATGAGCCAACATTGATATCCCAACATGGCCTGTCGTTCCTGGTCAATATACTACGCAACTGTGATACACAGGCTACAACATTTGTTTCCATGGGTTATCTCTTCCGCTGTATTGCTAGCTGAATAGTTCATTATCTGACCCAGGTAACAGGAAGCTTGTAGGTGGAGAAACCACGGCCATCCAAGGGGTAAGAAGATTTGTCAATGATTTTCATTAGACCTTGATGTATTCTAAGTTTCTAGATCAGGGTAGGCAACCTCGGAATTCCAGCTGTGGTGAAAGTACAAGTCTCATGAGGCACTGCGACACTCTGACAGCCACAGGCATGACTTCCAGAGACATGATGGAATTTGTAGTTTCACTGTTTCCCCACCCTGGCTAAGAAATAAGGAGGATTTGATGAATACGGCTGAATGTTACAATGAATGCGATACAGGAACAGTGCTCAGCCTTCTCTTCTTTATTTACACATCTGATCTCCCCATCCCTGGACTGATGGCTGAGGATGGCTACTGCTTCTGACTGATTGTAGTGCATTAGGATGACTTTAAAGCATATGTAAACCCTAAAATGAACATTATTTGCTCCCTTTTCTTCCTTTAAATAAAACAAAGTGTTTTGTTATATCTGCTGTAAGTAACATGTGGTAGCGCAACACCGTGCGTTGCAGTGGAAAAATATGGCGCATGCCCTACTTGTGGTACTAGTACATCATGTACTACTTTTATTCACTGCACCACAATGCATGATATTGAAGTACCATGTATTGTGCATTGTGGGGAGGAGGTGAGTCAGGGTGCCATTCAAATGAATGTCAATGCACCTGCTGCACTGTAGCGCAGGTATGTGGGCTACACCATAGCCTGCATTAATCACATGGTACTGTGTGTGGAAAAACGCACTGCAGCGGTGTGAACGGGCCCAGTGACAGCAATCACCAGGGTAGTATAAGTGAGAGGAAGTCTCCACAGAAGTGACACAGAGAGCAATACAACCATGATAGATAGATAGATAGATAGATAGATAGATAGACAGATAGCCATGCAGGTGACACCAGGCATGCTGTTCCCCTACCTCATGATTTCCTGCTCCTCATTCCCCTCACTCTCCAGATCATCCTCATCCTCCGGGCTAAATGGAGGACGACTTCGCAGGCCACAACATCGCACAACAGTTGGACGGGAGCCACTTAGAAGCCGAATTCTCCCCAGTAAAGTCAAAATCCCAGCTGCCATGACTTTACATCGATTGTTTCTGTCTGGATGTTCCACTACGCTCGGTAAGCTCCGTGATCACGCCTGGCCTGTCACATGCCGTGCTGAGCTGTGGTGTAGGCACAGACGGCTGAATACTCCTCCTGATTGGCTTTCCTATTCCTCATGTATGTCACGCCCATCTCTCAGTGGGTACGCCCTTTGGCTGTTTCCATGGAGACTGAAACTTCCTCCTGATAGACCGATGAACCCGGAAATAGTCCTTTTTTTCTCCTTGCCTTACGATGTGTTCATTTGGTTCCTAGGGAAGGTACTGCTGTGTGTTGCACGGATACTACATGGGGCAATCGAAGTGATCGTGGATGTCGGAGCTGTGCTGGGTGAGTAATAGGGTTGCTACTCTGTATGGGGAGAGGGAAGGCCTTCTTCCGGTCTATTGAAGAGGGTCTAGGACTGACCGGAAGTGCAGTGTCACAGCTGTCATTTTAATGTGCTGACAAGCTGTGTGCCTGGACATTTTCCTCTCCTCGAATCGGAATGTATTCCGTCATGTCCTCTTATATCTGCATTTTACAAGAACCTTGGTTGAAAGCATAGATTGGTGGTAAGGTAAATCTGGAAACGAAACAATAGTAAACATGCAGCACAGCATGGATCTGTGTGTGAAATTCTGCAAGAAAATAACTATTGTGTATTTATAAAACAAGTGGACAGACCTCTGTCATTCTTTGTTAGGCACTGTTCAAACCTTGATGTACCGGAAATGTGCATTGTGTTTGCATGCATTTTTCCCAGGTTTGCACCCAATGATTCCAGTGTGTGGCACATGCAGGGCCGGTGCTGCCACTAGGCAGCCGCCTAGGACGCACTGCTGCCTATGGTGCAGTCTCGACCACTCACCCCCTTCATGGTGCCCCTCCCTCCCCATCTATTTCAAACTGCAAAAGCCAATGACAGGCTGGCTATTGCACCCACCCACTGAACATAAGAGCGGAACTGAGAGACAACTTTCTCTCTCAGGTCTGCTCCTCTGCTCAGTGGGTGGGGTTTTAATAGCCAGTCTGCTGTTGGCTATTTCAAATTAAAATAGTCAATAGCAGTCTGGCTATTGCTCCCAGTTGCTTACACCCACCTGCGGAAGCTAGCCCACAGGAGAATGGAGCCGCACGGGAGGGGGCGTGCAAGTAGCTTGTCTTGCCTAGGGCGCAAAATAGTCTAGCACTGGCCACATGTGTGGGGAAGTAGCTCCTAACAGATTCTGCTACAGGTATCCTGCGGTTTTTTTCCCCCGCGCGTTGTGCTCATTTTAAAACGTGGGAAAAACGCACGTTTTGGGTGCCATTAACAAGTAACGCTCGTTTCTGATGTGTTCCGTGATGTGCATTCGGCACACGTTCATGGAACACAAAGGTGTGAATGGGAGCTAAGATGTGTCTGCATCCACCCTGCAATGTGGTGTAAAAGGCAGTGAATACTAGGAAGGATTTTTAATCCTTCCTTTTGGCACCCCAAACGTGGCCTGGAAACCGCACATTTATCTCACATGTTGACCAGTGATGTCACTGGTTGCCTGGAGCTGGGTGGGATGCCTGTCAGAGAGTCCTAAGCTGCTAAGAGTTGAATGGGGAGATGTGTAAGGGCTTTTAGCAACCTAAGACGCTTTCCTGCCTGCATACACACCTCCCTGCCCCCTCTGGTTGCTAAGAGCCAAGCGGTGAGATGTTTATGGTACTCTTATGGGTCTTGGGAGGGGGGCTTTGTTCTTTAACCCCTTGCCATCCGCCCATCGTAAAATTACGGGCGGGCGGCGGATCCTTCCCGGGCGGGTGCACGTACATGTATGTGATTTTTTTTTTTTTCTGCCCCCTAGCAGCTTTGTTTGACTACGTGAGATTTTGAACTTGTCTTCTCTTTGCTGCAGGTGTGCTGCCGATAAAAATCAAAGATGGCTTCAGAAAGGCTGGATGCCCCTGGGATACCAGACTTCACCATTCTTAAGAGGTTGGCTCGAGACCAACTGATTTACCTCCTGGAACAGGTCAGCATCCCTTGCCTTTTAGTGTTGTGTTGATGAAAGGTGCTGGCTGTGTATATCGATTGCCCCTGAATAATAGTTCATTTGTAGGCTGAGATTTGTAGCCTGTAATGAATATAATGGAATAAACCTATATGGGCAACCATTTTTATTTTATCTGATTAGTAGCCAATTATTATATAAGAGATGATGTTCAGCTTTTGTAAGGTCTTCTCTTAATTTCAGCTCCCTGGAAAAAAAGATTTATTTATTGAACCTGAGTTAATGAGCCCTCTGGACCGCATTGCCAATGTCTCAATATTGAAGGTACATTTACTTTGTATAGAGTTCTCTGTGTATCTTTGTTTGCCGAGTAAAATACTTTCAGCTGATCCTTGTTTTGTCCTTTTTTTTTTTTTTTTTTTTTTTTTTAAAAACTTTTCGGACAAAATTTTTAAATTTAC